CTGTCTTTTTTCTTTTTCGTCACATATGTTTCTTTGTTGTCTATCTGTATGTGTAATATCCGCATATGTGTGTGTGTGTTTGTGTGTGCTATAGATTTGTTTATAATTTGCTAAGCAGTCGATGTTGATGTCGTCGCCATCATCGTCAGCCCTCCGCGACGCTTTCAAAGTCAATGAACTTTGTATTCAAACAGCACATATGCGTTTATGTGTGAATATGTATGTCTTTGTATGTGTATGTCTAGTCAACCTTTATAATTCATTGGCAGATATAGATAGGTATGTACATTTGAACTTTTCTAGCACAAACACATGGGTATGTATGCTGTACGACTGGCTGTGTGCATTTATTTGCAATTAATTTCATATCATTCAAAAAATGAATATATTGAACTGGTTAAGTCATTAGTCATTATGAATGCATGGATATGGAAAGAACATAAGCTGTTTGATATTCGGCCAAGCACTGCTAACTCAAATTATCTTCCAATTCATTTCTCTGATCTCATAATGTAACTGTTAGAAATTAACGTATGTAGGTCCGATAAACCTGGAATTTCTACATTATCCTATTACAGTTACCAAAAAAAGGTAGCCATTTGCCAATGGTGATTTAAAAAAAAAAGAGTCAGTAATGTTGCACACTTAGCTCCAGGAGCTAGCCGTGCACATAAAAGAAGCTGAAGCCAGTGCCCTAGAAGAAGACTGCGCCAAGGCTACGAAAGCAGGCAGATTTGCTTTTTACATACATTGTTTGGCAAGAGCTAAGTCGGTCTACCGGAATAACGTAGCCTAAAGTGAATATCTGGATTCCTACAATCCACTAGCGTATAACACATTTGTACGTATACATATTGTATTGAGATTATCTGATATAGGTATCCAACGGTTTATACCTAATAATAAGGAGGCGTCAATCACGAAAAAATGTACTATAATACTTTAGATAATCTTTGCAAAGCCGCATTCATTCTCTTAGTAACAAATAATATAAGTTGTATGCATTCATATTTCGCCGATATCATTAGCAATCATCTTTAGAGTAGTTTTTATTTCTGTATATTATGCCGGCCTTTTATAACATTTCACTTGTTTATAAAAGCTAACACTTCCGCCTAAGATAGCATCAACACGCCATAGGGTTTCATTCTGTAAACTGACCTATGATAATGCATATGGCATTTCTAATGACAACAACAACAGTCACAACATTCGCAATCGATAAAAGCTTTTACACAACAACAACAAGAGAAACAACAATGCAATTAGGTAGGCGGCAGACAACTAAGCAAAATTAATGAAATTTAATTTGTGATGGGAAAGAGCAAACGTTTAAATTTTGTATATAAACAACACATAGCACTCAGGAGGCAGAGAACAGAGGAAGAGAAATCAGAGACGGGTTGAATGGAGGAGACCGTCATCGTACTGTGAGACCGGCATTTGAATAACAACAGCAATGTGTAAAAATATGTACATACATACCTATCTATTATACATACATATATAAAAACATAAACAGAATAAACTTGAACAAGGCAATTCATGTATATTCGTAAGTATGTACATATGTATGCAAATACAATGGGCAACAAGAAATCTCATCACGTGCGCCCGTCGCTTGTGCAACAAAAACAATAATATCGAAAAAATATACATATGTATGCGTTGTAGTACAATAACAGATGGGAAAATGTGATAATTTTATAAAAAAATAAATGCATATATGTAGATTTAACCCGGCCGACATTCGCGATTTCCTTATGTTTCCCAAATTGACTTTACAAATAACTTTTCTATACATTTTATCATAATAATAAATACTATGCATGTATGTATATTTTTCTCTGCCTCACTTAATAACATCATCACTAATGTTCACAACAACAGATTTTATGCCTTTATAGGGAGCTATAATAACGCCAAATTCTTGCGAAATTTCTCTTCCAATAGCCTTCGACATAGCGACTATTAATATGCATATTCGGCTAGCTTCAACTCCTGAGACATTATCTTAGAACTTTAAAAGTCCCAACAACAAAATCACCCAAACGCATTCCATCACCCTGGTACGAGCAAACAAATCAGAAATCGAACTCTCCCACAGAATATTTAAAAAAGAGTTTCCCTCAAGACTCGACCAAATAAAATCCTTACAAATAAATATTACATCGAATCGACTATACAGAAAAGTCGCCAGAAAAGTGCTGCAGAAACAAGCTGAGAAGTGCATGCAGTTGTTCGGTAAATCGTGACACTAGATTCGACGGAAACGGAGAATTTCACGGACAATTTAAAATGCCGAAAAGAAAACTTGTATGCTTTTTATATTAAATTGAAGTTCAATTTTAAAAAATGTATCTTTTCTGTGAAAGGGTTAAGTTATGATTATATAATAATATTTTAGTGTAAAGATTCGTCGAACTTCTACAAATACTACAAGATACAATTATGCAATTAAGTTAGATGCATATCCGACTGACTTTATAATTGCATTATTGTTATAAATGGTTTGTGGCGTCTCAGACGATGTGGCGTCCATGACTTTTCACGCTTATAAATGTTTAAATGCCAATTTAACGCTTGATTGTTTATACTGATTAGTCAATCGGAATCGTAGAAAAAAGTTAAGATTTTACTGTGCTGTTTTGTTTCTCGAACTCTTCGATCGGTTTAAACTAAATACGTAAACCCCACAATCTTATCACTATACTGATTTCTATTACTGTTCAACATAACATTCTATAGATAAGTAAACTTAACCGTGTTATCATTGGAATGAATGTTGATTAGAATACACTTGCATACACAAGCTATGTGTATATCCTTTATATGTATGTATGTAAGTTTTCACATTGTATACATACATACATGGAAATGGCAGGTTTATTAACCCCGAGCTATAAAGTGACAAAAGGGAGTGTAAATCATTGTTGTTCTGTTTACGTCACAACAAATACATATAGTATGTAATTATAGTACTACCTGTTTCGTCATGGGCCAGCCGAACTGATAAAAACATACGTGAAATGTGACAATATAACAGCACGTAGATACAAACACTTACATTTTCACACACACACAAACTTACTCATAAGTTTACACATACATGTGTATTTATGTACACAGGTGCATTTATTGAAAGTTACGAAATGCGGCGGCACATATTTTTGTTGCAACTTCGTGTGCTTCGTGTGCCACAAAGAAGCGCAAAAGTGCAAGTGGCTGTTGTTATTTTTATTGTTGCTGCACAAAATGTGCAAGGAGGGCATAGATAACAGCAAAAAAAAAAGAGGAGAGGAGAAGAAATATGCACACACACTCACAATGGCACAAAAAGAAGGCGGTGCAGGCAGTACCTTTAAAATGTGTGTGACGTCGACGTTCTCTGCTTTCAATCTCAACGCGCTACTTCACTTTATTTTTTTCCCATTTCTTGTGTTTTTCTTACAAATTTCATGGCTTCATTCATGAAAACCAACGGCTGCGACAACAACAACAAGCACTTATTGACAGAGGCATATACAAATATACATACATACATATGTATCTAAAGGCACATGCCTGCTCCGCTTGTTGTTGTTGTTGTGGTAGCAACAGCGGCACAAGTGGGCAGAAGCCATAACATTTGTGTACAATTTTTTTTGCACTGCTTCTTCTTCTGCTGCTGTGGCGGCGGCGGCGTCCGCTTTTTTGTGTTGCCTTTTCATGTTTTGTTGTTATTGTTTTCCGGCGAGTGCCGGCACTTTGGCAAGTTGGTTTATTTTTTTATTGTTTTTTTTGTCAGACTTTCAGGCAAATTCGCGAAATATGTTTCATGTCTGTCTGCCTTCTCTTTCCCAGTGTGCATGTATGTGTGTGCACGAGTGCATTTATGTGTGTCAGTATGTCTGCTGCACTGCATGTTCGCCTAGCGGCATTCATCTTGTGTGTGAAGCGGCAACTGGAGGGCATATAAAATATATAAATCTTTGCCAGTCAAAAACTTAAAAAAAAAACTTAAATCACAAAAACTAACAACTACAAAACTTTAGCCGCACGGTAAAATAAAACGTGGACGTGCCGCCGCCTTCCCTCTTTAAACAGAGGCAGAGCAGAGCGAGCAGCGAAGCTCAGAGCGCAACAGCGAATGTGAATGGGTGGAGAAGATAACTAACATAAATCTAGCTCGCGTTTTGTACATGTATTGGTATTAGTGTTAGGTGCCGGTGTGGTGTCTGTGGCTAGACTTTACAGTGTGTGCGTGTATGGGGGGACGTCACGAGGTCGATGAAATGGAAATCAGTGTCAATGTCAAAAAAGCACTAAAAAAATAAAGAAAACGACCACCACAAGCCGATACTACTCCCCCCATTTGTAGTTCAAAAATGTTTACGTTAGGACTCCCCTTTCTGTTTTTATTTTCGAGACAAGCGACATGCTAGCGGTGTTAATGGTAAGATAATTAATAATGCCTATTTTGGAATATGAAAAACATTATTTGTGGGCCAATTTTTGATATGGGAACAGTTTGAGTTTCAGCATTATTTTTTTTTTCAGTTGGGCAGCATAAATAAATTTGATAGAATATTTCAGTTATAGATTTGATTGAGACTATAGAAAGTACATACATACTAATGTATGTATGTATTTATCATCGTTGTTTTTCGAAAGGTTGGGTAAGTATAGAGATAGAATATTTAAATATTTGTTTGCACAGTACATCAGTGCAACAATAATTTTGATGAAAATGTAATTTGATAATATTATATTCGCTTATTCTGCGGATTCAAATATGTTAGCCATGCGTTTTTTATAAAGTTTTTACCTAGCGGGTAATTGTTAGATATTAGAAACTGTCTTATAACCTGAACTATTCGATTACTAATTAAAAATAGAACCACACAAATTGATGAGCCGATTTTTGTGAATAAATGTAATTAAATATGTAAACTATAGTTTCTTATTTTTGAAAGACTTCCTAAAACCACTGTTAGAAAAATTTTGATTCAAGCACTTACCGGTGGTGGCGTTCTATACTGCTGCGATGGCCCCAACTGCGGACTGTAGGGTCTCGGCGGAGGCGCCCAACCGCCCTGTTGCGCTCCATATGGTTGATGTTGTGGTGGCGGAGGTGGTCCGCCCGGTTGTTGCGCATTTTGTTGATGTTGCTGCTGCTGTTGTTGTTGGGCTGCTGCAGCCGCTGCCGCAGCTGCCGAAGCAGCTTGCTGTGGGTCATAGCTATTCGCGTACCGATGCTGCGGCGGTGGCGGCGGATTTGATGACTGCAGCAATGAATTCAACGTAGGCGTTGGCCCTTGCGGCGGTTGACCGGGTATATAACGTTGTTGAGGTGGTCTATTGGGTGAACCACCGGTACCTTGCTGTTGTTGTTGCTGATGAGGTGGTGGTGGTTTGCCACCCGGTGGTGGCTGTTGCATTGGCGGATGTCCATAGCGGTAGGGATCCATATTGGGATCACCAGCATGGTAACGCCCATAGGCAGGATGCGCGTGTGGATGTTGAGCGCCAGGTGGCGGGGGCAGATGTGGGCCACCGTAATCATCTTTCACGCCAGGAGTATGTTCGGGACCACCGGGTGGTGGAGCTGGGCCTTGTGGTGGCGGTGGGCCACCATGATGTTGCATGTGCGGTGGCGGCGGCCCTTGGGGATGTGGTGGTTGCTGCTGCTGTTGTTGTTGATGTAGATGATGATAGTGTTGCATGACGGCGGATGGGTCAGGTGGTGCACCAGGCGCTCCGCCAGGAGGTGGTGGTGGAGCACCATATGGATGGGGTGCGACGCCACCACCACCTTGTTGTATATTAGGATCACTCCCATTGTTGGGCGTTGGGGGACCACCCGATGTTGGTGGTGTGGCGCCACTCGCGGCTGCGGCAGCCGCTCCTGCTGTGGCCCCACCTGCACCACCAGACGCAGCGCCGCTGGAACCCTGTGACGAGGGCGATTTTATTTTTTCATTCATGGCCTTTTATGTTGCTGCCGGTGGCTGTTGTTGCTGCCGGTGGCTGTTGTTGCTGCTGCTGCTGTTGGTGTTGTTGCTGGAGAAAAACCACCGACAACGTTGACGCTGATGACGACGACTTCTCCGACTGCAGCGGCAAGTTTGAGGTTATGTTAGCTGCAAGTTGTTAAAGACATTTGTTATTTGGTGTACATTATCATTGTGTGTATTGCATGTTAGGACAATTCAAAAACAACAACAAATGCATACATAACCAATCACAAACACACACTCACACACTTCAGGCACATTTTAATTGTTAATGCTATTGAAAATTTTTTGCTACCATAGCTTTTTACTTGGTCGTCCGTTTATTCATAAGTTCGCCACGCGCGATGGCAACCCAGTCACACTCTCTTTTTTTCTCAGAGGAGTTTGAGCTCTCTCGCAAGTGCTCTCTTTACATTTGGCGGCTACAACACGCTCTCGCCATCTCACTTGCTCTAACTTGCACTGTGCTGGCCCATGAGTGCGTTCTCACTCTCGCACTTTTATATGCGCCTGGGAAGGCTTTATTAGTTTTTGTTGTATGTGGAAACGGACAGTAATGATTTTTTTATCGTTTATTCGTAATTATACGGATTTTCAATGTTGAATTTTCACAATTTCACAGCATTTTCGCGAAACATAACAAATGCAAAATGCTGTAATGATTATTCATTAGCAAATTTCAATAGTTTGTAGTCATTAAAACGACCAATTATATGGCGAAAAATCGAATTTTCTACACGCGCACAAACGCAAGCGGGCGACACACATACGATGCGACAGCAAGTTGAACAACGACTTTCAATGGAAACGAACGAAGCTACAAAATGCGCTGCTGTGTGGCCGCCGTTCATATATGTATGCATGTGTGTGTGTAGCGCGCGACTTGCTGGTTATGCGTACTAGTGTGAGTTACGAGTTTTTTTAAGGAGTAGCAAAATATGCTACAGACTAGCTAAATCTTTTGCTATTTGCCTTTACTTACACATTTATAACATTTTTATTGTTGCATATACACATACATATGTACGACGTTTGATGGCCTGTGTCCGGGGGTCGCGGTGGCCTACAAAAGTAGTGCCGAAAAATAAACACCACACACACACACGCACACACTGATGATGATGACGATCTTCACTTTGCCGCTCTCTCACAATTATATTTTGTTCTTTGGCCACGGACCGAACGACGACTTGAACTAACGCCCGGTAGCAGGAAACATTAGACAACAATTATAACGATGATGTGCAGAAGAGAACAACTCCATCTGCATATTGCAAGTATATATTGTGTTGTTACTAATTTTTACGATTAATTTTTCACTTTGGTTTTTTACAATTTGCTTTTATTTTTGCGCGCTCTCTCTCGTTTGCTGTCGCCGTCGCAGTGTTTAGCTCGCTCGCATGCGGCTTTTTTTAATAACGTTTTTATGTGGGTGCGAGAGAGACAACCACTGGGACGCTCCGCTCTGCTGCTTGTTACATTAATTTTAATGCCGAATGTGACAACAAAACGAGTTTCGCGTTTTCAACAAATGTTTTCCAGGCAGCAGCCAAACTATGAAATTTCGGCGGCAATTGTTGTTTGCGAAAATTTATAAATAACAATAATGTGCACCGCTGCTTGTTTTCATTTGTTGTTTTATGCCTCTTCTCCTCATCAGTTAATAATTGCAATTATAATAGCGCTCGGTGCTGCTTTGTCGTCGTCTCGTTTGTGCTTCGTTTAGGAAGTTTTTTTTACGTTTTGGTGTGGTTTTCTTTTTTGGTGTGGTGTTGATGATGCAAGGATGTGGCTGCGGGCCGACGTTTTTATTAATTTGTATATATATATATATATATATATATATATGTATATCTGCTTGTATGTATAATGCGTTTGCAATTATACAATGCGCACTTGCATATCACACACACTTTAGCTTTAGTGGAGGAGCTCGCTGGCAGCTCCCATAGCCAGGTTGCGATTTACGTGGCTGGCTGCTTATTTTTGTGTGGTAAAGATAGGATAAGTTAGTCTTGGTTATTTTTTCTTCTCTTAACTATACATCTATATACACACACTTGTACACACATGCACACACGCACGCACACTTACACATAGAAACGAATTGAATTGTATGCAAGTCTGGTGGTGCTGTCTGCGTTGCCGAAGAAAAATGTTCGCAATGCTCGTACGTATGCAAATAGGGATTTTTAATTTGATAACTCACACGCGTCTATTCGCCAGTTACACTCTGTACATATTGTACACAATTTTCGCTATTAATTTGGTGTATTTCACTTAATTTTCTTAATTATTTCGCAGCATGACGACGGAGCTGGCCACTAAAATCGAATAGACGCGAACAGTAATGGCGGACAACATTGACAGACGAAAGGAGTGGCAACGCTACATATGCAGTGCTGTATTGGGTTGGTTATCGTTCGTTGGGAATGGCTAAGCTTCGCATGGTTGTATTTAGTTGCTAGTTCTGCCAGGGCTGTTTGTCGACGTGGTGGTGAATGGCTAAATAGCACCGTTACATTTGGCGCCATTGCAAAATTTATTAATGCAAAAAAGTAGTAGTGCTTAACGTCTGTCTTATTTAATGTATATTGTGTTTTAATAAACATGTTCCGTGTGTCTATTTATGTAGTGCTGATCCTGCACATTGTTCTCGTAACACAAATTAGTTTGAGAGTGGCGGCCTTCTCACTGCGCCAAAATGATTTAACCAGTGAAAATAATGAATCTGGAAGAACGCATGTGCACACGACGCCTGCTTCTAAGCCGTTATTACCGCCAGAGGATGGTGGCATGTGTAAGTAACTGTAAAGTTGGTCACTAAAATACTGCAAATTTTATAGTCGTCTTGCTCTAACCCATATACTTGGCGCAGCTCATCACGATATGCCGCCAATTAGTGGTCTGCTTAGGAAATGTGCTCCTTGTCCGGATACTGTGTTGTGTGTACCACAAATTCAATGTCCAGCCCATGTGCGGATGCATGACCATGAGAAACCGCAAATTTGTGATTTACCCGGCGATAAGTTTGGGTATTGCTGTACCTCTGGCCAAAATCACACAGGTACACCCACATATACATACATAACCTCAAAATATTTCAATACTAATTGGATACTATAGTCTCCAATCAGAACAAGGCACGTCGTTCGACCTTGCCGTTAATTCTGCCAGTCGACGTGCTGGAGGAGGCTCGTAAGAACTTTAAGCATCTCATGCAGGACATTGCACAAATTCCAGTGCATCCTGGACAACCAGATTTTACGCATGGCATTATGTTTCATTCAACGCCGCAGGAAGATTTGCATCAGCAACAGCTAAGCAATAATGCATTGCAACAAGTGATAACCAGTCAAGTGTTTAGCAAGAAGGAACATGTACCTGTGGATGATTTTATAACCAATAATGTTCATGTCAAGTTTACGAAGACGCCACTGGGTCGGCATTGTGGTCCGCCTCCAATTTGTCGCAATATAAACGATACCTATCGCAGTTTCGACGGCACCTGTAACAACCCGCTGCCTCATCGTTCGCTTTGGGGCGCCGCTGGCCAGCCAATGGAACGTTTGCTCCCACCTGCTTATGAAGATGGCATTTGGATGCCACGCATGCATTCGACAGATGGCTCTCATTTGGTCAGCGCTCGTGAGGTGTCGCGTGCTCTTTTGTCGGACATTGATCGGCCACATTCCAAATACAATTTGCTTTTGATGCAATTTGGTCAATTATTGGCGCATGACATCTCGCAAACGGCTTCAGTGCGGCTGGAGAATGGCGAACTGGTCCAGTGCTGCACACCTGGCGGCTTAAGCCACTTGCCACCGCATCAAACCCACTTTGCCTGTATGCCCATTTCAGTGTCGCCCGACGATGAGTTCTACGGCTCGTTTGGCGTCCGTTGCTTAAATTTCGTTCGCTTGGGCCTAGTGCCCAGTCCTGATTGTCAGTTGAGTTACGGCAAGCAGCGGAGTAAGGTTACACACTTTGTGGACGCCTCACCCGTTTATGGTTCAAATGAGCAAATGGCGCAAAGCTTGCGCACCTTTCATGGTGGTCGGCTGAGCATGTTTGATGACTTTGGAAGGCAACTGTTGCCGCTGACAAGGGATAGGAAGGCTTGTGATAGTGATGAGCCGGGCAAAACGTGCTTTAAGTCTGGCGATGGTCGCACCAATCAAATCGTGTCGCTTATTACGCTTCACATACTTCTAGCGCGGGAGCACAATCGTGTGGCAGATGCGTTGGCGATACTTAATCCTTCAGCCAGCGATGAGTGGCTTTTCCAGGAGGCGCGGCGCATTGTTATTGCCGAAATGCAGCACATTACCTACAATGAGTATTTGCCAGCGATTATTGGACCTATGGCCATGAAGCGTTTCCGTTTGGTGCCGCAACATCATGGCTATGCTCAGGGCTATAATATTGATATTAATCCGGCTATAACGAACGAGTTCTCTGGAGCAGCCTTTCGCATGGGCCACTCCACAGTCGACGGCAAATTTCGTATACATCGGTCACAAAAGTCCAATATCGATGAGGTCATTAATATACCGGACGTTATGTTTAATCCTTCGCGCATGCGAAAGCAGGAATTCTATGACGATATGCTCCGAACATTGTACACACAGCCCATGCAATCTGTGGACAGTTTTATTACACAAGGGGTGAGTTATCTCAACTATTGCTCTGTAAGAAGAAAATCAAAATATTACAGTTGGTTCGAATCACTTGTAATACTTGAATATTTACTAATACTTTTAATTATGGTTTCACTCATTATAGCTAGAATGTTAAGAGGGATTAAATTAAATTAACCTTCCCATTAACCGTTTTTTTATTGCTTTGTATTTGATTATTTCTAAAAAGTTTACCAGATAATGAATTTTCGATTTGAATCATTTAAAGATTAAACATTTTTTAATAGAAAAATTATGCGAATAAATTTGATTTTTTTTACGTCACAGCTCAGTCGTTTTCTGTTCCATGGCCACAGTCCATTTGGCTTGGATTTGGCTGCGATTAATATACAACGTGGTCGTGATCAAGGCCTACGAAGCTATAACGATTATCTGGAGGTGATGGGACAGCGGAAGTTGCAGAGTTTTGGGCAGCTCCCTAGTGAGGTATATACTCGTAGTGCAGTCTATTTTATTATCGAATTACACATACAAGCTCTTCAATGCTTACTTTTTTGCAGGTTGGCGCCAAACTGGCTCGCGTTTATCATACGACTGACGATATTGACCTGTGGGTTGGTGGCTTACTCGAGAAACCTGTCGAGAATGGTTGTGTGGGCAACACATTTGCCGAAATCATAGCCGATCAGTTCGCTCGCTTCAAACAGGGCGATCGTTACTTCTATGAATATAATAGCACAGTCAATCCCGGCGCATTTAATCTCACCCAATTGCATGAGTTGCGAAAGGTGAGTTGGTGAAAGCGTTTGAGACAGAAAGTAGCAATATCAACAAATTATCATAATTGATGTATATTTCGAGCTTTTAATTAAGGGAATCTAGTGAGACACTTATTGAAATGTTATTAAATTTTTAATATTTATTTGTACTAAAAGCTGTACACAGCCAACCAGACATATCTCCGTGTGTAGACTTCTTTCGATTTCTCCATTAGAACCGGTAGGAAGGAATGGGACGATCGGTACATGATATTTAGTATTGATTGATTAATTTCCCTGCCACCTGTAACAGAGCAGCTTTACTTTCTGACCACAAAGGCATTGTTTCTAACGTAGTAATTGCACAAAGTAGTAGTTCTACTAATAAATTACCATTTATTTAAACTTTCTTTTCTCATAAAAATAATATTCAAGGTGACTATGGCGCGATTGGTATGCGACAATGCCGATCATCTAACCTTAAATTCAGTGCCTTTGGCGGCCTTTGTGCGCCCCGATTTTGCTGGGTAAGTGATCATAACTGAATTATTAGGCCAACGATTAACTTGACAATAATTGCAGCAATTCAATGATACGTTGCGATGATCCGAACCTGCCTGTCGTGAATTTGAATGCCTGGCGTGTTTAAATAATATTTTATACAATATACTATATAGTAGTTTTATTATACTTTTTCCTTTTTTTTCAATTCAGTTTTAATTAATGATTGTTATAAGCTGGTCCCTTAATTAACAGATGTTGTAACCGAAAATGTGTGTTTATGTGCCGATACGATTAAGGTGTAATGTGTTTTTAAAAATATAATTAATTAACAGAACGTTAAAGTTTACTTTCAGAACTGTAAAAATAACTGTTGAATGAAAATGGGCGGCACTTAAAGACGACATCGATGTCGCATTGTCTGGGAATCACGATTGACGCCACTTGCTACACGTGTTCCGGTTATTCGTTAAATAAGCTTTGTTTCGTTTGTTTGGATTGCGTCTGAAGTAAAGGTTTTTGTGGTTACTGCTGATATTCAATATTCATTAGCACCCAATTCGTTTTGCTTTAATTTTTAATTATGCATGTGAGTCAGCTAAAAACTAATCGCCAGAGCATCAATTAGTTGTGTGTGTTGTAAAAAAAAATTGAAACCAGAATAAACCTGTTGCGCACGTTCCCCCGAATTTCGATTCGTGTTTAGGGAATCCTGCGGCGAAGTTGTTGAGGCTTAGCGAAGCACCTACTTAACAGATAATTAGTATGAAGTAGAGCAGAAATATAAATCTATAATTGTTCTATGTAGGACTTTCAAATTGAACAAATACATCCGTCTACATTCGTGCTATTCATAGGCTGTAAAGTGAATGATGTTTTTAAACAAAAATCGCTCACAAGTGTCGACTGTTGAGTCAAACTTGTGTGAAACAAACCATGCGTACACATTTCTGTAGCCCGAATATATGGTTTAAATTGATGATACATTTATCTCTTGGAAATGCTCAATTCTATTTACATATACATACATACGTATGTATGTATGTATCAATTTTCGACAGCATCTTCGGTAATAACGAAATATGGCGGACCAACATGTTCGTCGCCATTCACGTTGTCACAAACATTTTTAAGGCGCGTATGCCTCTCAAACAATTGCTACGATAGACTTACTTCATCAATTGAAACGTTTGGGTACAAGTTGTACCGAGTTTTAAAGCAGAACCTAATGATTGACCTACATACATATGTATTTGCTCGATGCTCATTTGTGCACCGATGACCCAAGCATATGTATGTACCCTCACTTTAGACGCAATTACTCCGCTTCCACTCTCATAAAACTGTTACTGGAAGTATGTGTATACTAATTACAGAATGTTCCGCCAAAAAATGTCCTATTCCACAAGTCCTGTCTTTTCGACCTTCCCCTCCAAGTCAGCTGACAGCAACAGCTGACTGGCGACGCTTCCATTTGACTGGCTAATTGTTTTTAAGTTCAACCAAAAAAAAAAAATATTCCATTTGCATTAATACTATTTGCGAGCATTTGCGGAAACACCAATTAAATGTTTAAAAGGTACATCGCAAATGTTTAAGGTGCGTATCTGATCCCACTTGGGCGAAATAAACAATTGCACTTACGCTCCTTATTACATATTAATTTTATTTTTAACATTTTTACTCTCTTCTCGAATTTTGCTGGACTAGTTTCTCCAGCAGTACATTTTGCTTCTTCATCAGCCCCACAATCGTTTTTGTGGACGACTTATGAGCCTTCTTCAAATTGTGGAACTCTTTTGCGATGGCTCTTAATGCTAAGATTTTCTCTGTTGCGAGCGCTTCCCGTTTTGCCGCAGACTTTCGCGAATGTCTAAAATCGATCTTACGCTTTTTGGTTGGAGCCTCGGGACTGCTGTCATGACTATAGAACCTCATTTCTGAATCATCCATACAACTTGCATTCCTTTTATATTGTGTCGTCTCAAGTTCTGAAAAATATTTACTTTGTTACAGCTGTGTGCATTTTGGTTTTGTTTCTCTTACCGGTAGACGAAGACTGCTCATTCTCGTCATCCTCAGCCTGGGCCTCGTCAATCTCGTCTACTACGTCGTACATATTAAGCAGGACGGCAATTGCATTCTCTGCGGCCGTCAGCGGCACATGATTATAGTGGCCGCCACAAGTCGCGCTGCTTTCCCTTTTGTTTTTCGCAATTTTGTTTCTTATTGACTGTTTCCAGTCCTTCCAAACCTTTAAATAAATATGCATTAATTACAGATGTATGAATTGCTGTATGTGGATGATGTACTTACTCGTCGCCATTCTTCGACGGTCTTACACGGAGGGCCATTTTCATTCAATTGCGCGGTAAGCGACTCCCAAGCCGCAGCGGCAGCAGCCCTATTTCGGTTCGTATGGCCTCGCGCAATGTTGGAGTGTTTTTCCATAAATTCGATGAAAATTACGTTCTGTTGTGGCGATCTATGTTTTCCCCTGCAAAAGAAGAAGCACTTGAAATTTAATTCAGAAATTAAAAAATTTTACATACTTACATTTTGTTTGCTGGTTCGTCTTGTATCTTTTAAAATGACATTTAGCTACCATTCACATTTTCTCTAACAAACAGACCTGCCCACTCGGCGACACACAATTTTCGCCAAGTTTTTTTAAATGTGTTCGAAAAATGTAATTTTGTTTTGGGCCAAGTGGGCACCTCTATTTTTCTGGTATTTTGGATGTTGTGTGTGAATGCTAGTGTATTAACTAGAGATTCAGTAATTGCTAATTTAATAATATTTTTAAAGGATATGCAAAATATTTTTGATGCAGATTGTTCAAAAAAACTATAAGGTTTATATTCCAATATATTCCCATTCTTATTCATGCTACATTTTTTTAGTATTAAACAATTGAATTCTAAGGATTGCTTAAAAATATATTTTCTCCATACAATTCATTTAGTGCCAATACGTTTTATTGTACAAATAATTTGGAACCTTTTATGGCGCTTTAAATAAATTAATTAAAATTATGAATCGTACAATCTGTTTAAAAGTTCTATTTTTAAATACATATTTAAATTAGAGCAATAAACGCGTTGGTCCAAATATACATACGTTCTTTCATCCCATATAACTAAGCTACTCTACAGCTATAACTAACTATTCCTTACTTTTGCTCCTCGTGGCTAAACTAGGATTCCAACGTTTGTGTGCCACCCTTCCCGAGAAGACTGCTGCTTATTAATCTTCCGTCGCTGGTCTGTGCTGGGAGTTTTGATCATACAGGCTCTTCTGCCTCTTCTCATTTTTATCCCTAGTTTCTTTTACAACTGATAATGCGTTCCAAAAACCCTTTCGGGTTTTATGCTTAAATTATAACGCTCTGTTCCACCCGCCCTAAATCGAACTCTCTCCTCTCTCTTTATAGAAAATTCTCTTTCCTCAGCTACGTATCTCCGGAGTGGTAGTAAATAGTACAAAAGTAAATTAATTATCTTTTAAATATTTTCTAAATTTCCTTTCTCTAGTAAATTTTATTTTTAATATTTTTGTTTGTTATTGTTTATTTACGCCTCTGACTACACTCGGCTGTGAATTGGAGCATAGCAGAATTTAGATAAGATCTTAAGCGAAAGTGATTATAAAAAACGATGGAAGTTTACGGCATACAGTTATTTTTAATAAATTAAGCCGAATTTAAATAATTTTTCTGGACCATTCACCGAACATGGCCATTGAATATATTGCTATCGCTTCATATGTTTTTAAAAATAAAAAAATCTTTAAATGCAAACAGTTATAAAATAATAGCCAACCGAGAACTCGAATATGCTAAAATATTGCAAGGACAGGGTTTTCTTTCTATATTGAACATATAGAAATTTTTAGAGGCCTGATAAAAGCCGGGTATGTCCGGCTGTGTCATTTTTTCGTTGAAATTTTTGAACTAAACGCCACAGTTAAGATTGCATGAAAAACGTATTTATGATTAATTAATAGATGCATAGGTCGCCTAATGAAGTTAAGTTAATTAAATAAAACTTTGTTACAATTTTATGAACAACCTCAGATTGTACATAGGACAGGTCTAACCTCTATGGTGACATTTTTAGTTTCTTTAACTTTAATTCACGCTTAGTTGCTAATTAGATTTAGTAAAATATTTTGGACCCATTGTTGTTGTGTCTCCGATAAATACTATGTTTGTCAGTATATATAACACAGAAGTTCAGTCCAGTTGTACCTATGGACGTCAACTTAGCATTTGTCTAGACAATTAACAGCTTGTCGCATTTGCAAACAGCTTCGTATGCAAATGACAAATGAAAATTGTAAATGTGTGGCAAATTGTTATTGAATTGTGGATACACACGAGTATGAATAAACAAACGTACATATAAATAGGTCCATTTTGATTATTTGCTCCTCTATTTCTTCTTTCATATTGAAATTCGTTCAATAAATCTATAATATGGCAGAAGTGGAAAAAAATTTAATTTCTAAAACCCGTCGTGCTTGAGATTTGGAAACATTATCATTTTTTTTTGCATTTTTATTATAAAATGTGGTGATTAGCCAAATTCTAATTGTAATATTAATCGAATCGTAGGGCGTTTAACAAACAGGTGTAGCCGGCTGTAGAATCTTTGCGACTGGTCTCCCCTTCTAATTATATTTTCTTCTCCCGCTTGTGTCAATTTGCTGGAAATTATTATTTTTTTTTGGATCGTGTAAATAAATTCTGTTTATATTTGCCAATACGTCTATAATTGTTGGACATTTATTTACATGTTGTTAAAAAGTCTTTTACCAGAACGAAAATTTTCCATGTCCGTTGGGCAATATTATTTTAAAAATGTATATGTATGTACATACTATATGCATATGTATAGAAGGGACGATTTGATGATGCGATTTGCTGTGGTTGTTGTTATTAGTAATCTGAAAAAATGTTAGCTATAAAGGGAGCATTCCTCTTACATCAACTACATTAATAATAATCAGATGAAAATGAAAACTAGTTTATGTTAATTATATTAACCTGGCAGAGCTTAAAACTGATTACTATTGGTTGACTTTTAAATATGTACAAGTAGATAAGTTGTGCCCCTTCACGTTTTGGTTGAGAGTAGAAACGTAGAGATAGCGAAGATTTGTGCGCAGTTGAGAAACGTTTATGAAAAATATCTTAAAAATAATTATTTATGAACTTAAACTGAATTAATTTATGTGTATGTAGTATATAAATAAAGTCACTGAGAAAACGTAATAGATAAGCAACGACTAAATGTGTTTAACACTCATTTTTCTTCAAAATAAACATCTATATTCAGGTAAAGTTATATTGGAAATTTTGCAAAAAGTTGGTCGTTTGCTGGTTTTATAGGTCTGCACTAAGCAATATGTATAAAAAAGAATTGGCTCGTTTTATTTTTCACGTAACTTTCCTTTTCCTAAATAGTACACATTCTAATGAATCTAATCTATAGAACATCCCAAAACAGATATTTGCCAGAAAGGCGCTGGTAGCGAATATAATGAATATTCCAATTTTCCAATCGATGCACAGCGATGTTGTATCGATATTACGTGACATTCGAATAGCTTCCAGTCTTAATCTACTTTTCTTCTAACGACCAAATAGAATTCAATATGGTAAAATGTTTAACTGAAATTTCAATTTAAAATTAATTATTTGGCAAATTATAAACTCGTTAAAATCAAAATTTTGTCGTTACCTCTTTGTATGGAATTTGGGAATTTGGATTGTGGCTTAAGTAGCTTTGGATATTGGCCTATTTAGCATTAAAACGCAAACTGGTTTCGTGCTATTTTATGTGTCAATCATAGATCGGAACAAAACGTGCACAAATTAATTAGTCTGCGCTTAAAATCGAATCGATATAAAATATTCAAAAGCTGATAAAAACATTTTATAGCTGTTCGCAAAACAAAAACAAGCAAAAATTTCAACAAAAAATTCCACGTTCTTTTCCCCTCAATATAAAGTTATGAGCTGAGCATTCTTAATTGAATTGGCTTTGTGTAGCAGCTGTCAAAGTCAATTAGTTCAATTAATTATATTGTTGAATTAATTTTCTAAAGCTAAGACGCAGTCGCTTCTCCCAGCGGTGGGTCCCCGCCGTCAAGAAGTTGGAATCAAAATGTTGGCAATCAGTTCAGAGAAAAAATGCCATTTATTGCTCAACTCGAAATTTCCAAAAATTAAACTCAAAAAATGCGCGCTCTTTTAAAAGATCTTGTGTGATGGTCGCGATACATCTGCCCTCGCCTATGCCCTCCATCGCCCCTAATTATTCTGGTGCTCGGAGGAGAGTTGCGGCAGCGGTCCTTGGCCGTATACATTCTCATCGGAGTAGGCCATGTAGAGGAAGTAATCCTTATCGCGGTGCTCGTGGTACAGCGCACCCATTGTAGAGGATGTGGGCGGTATCATGTTGTTCACGAAGAAGAAGAGAGCATCGTCCGGACGCAACTGGATGCGCTTGCGTATGAGAAAGTAGAATTGTCCCACAGTCAGGTCGGTTGGCACCAAATACTTCTTCTTGTCCAACGCAGCGTGGCGGGTCTTGGGGGACTTCTCCACAATTACGGGCACACGATCCGGGTACTTACGACGCATTTTGTCACCTTCGGCACGACGCTTCTCGAAGGCATGGTCCTTCTTGTACTGAAATATCATGTTCATCTTGATAGTGCTGCTGTGAACTGTGAAAACTTGAACGCAAAGGAAACTTCGGGGCGCGTCTTTTTCAGACAAAGATTTTAGTTGAACAAATTCGGGGAATTTTTTAGTTTTTTTTCCGTAGGCCTATTATTTGTAATGTTGAAAATTTGTAAACGCTCGCCTATGCTCAATGTTTGAAGTTTAAAAGCCAACTGCGCTTGAATTGCATAATGCAAACATTTCGAATTAAATGAGTATTTCCAATTTTTCAAAGCCATTGCCTTATAGCCAGCTAAATACTAAATAAATGACAGTCGAGTTTTTGGTGCAAAGCACATGGCGAATTTTGCTTCGCATCAGATCATCAGCTCTGGAACAAAGTTATTATTGTTCTCTATGACTATACAGCCTAACTGTTCAATTTGTTTAAACCCAGGTACACCTTGAAACACCGAAAAATAGGCACCTCCTACAATTATCCTGAAATAAAGCTGTTTTTCACTCACATGCAAGTGCATTGATGGTCCTTCTGTCAAATAAGACGGATTATCTTGAAAAGAAACTTGGAAATATACATACATATGTATGGGCTTAGACTGAAACCTTAATATCTATAAACTTTTCTAGAAAGATGACAATCAAAATGTTGACAACAATTTTGACATATAATCTAGATATTTTTATTTGAAACAATCACAAGCAGATATTGTATATGGAGTAATAAAATTTGATCAAACATTAAAGATTCTTGCATTCCTGCATTCAAGTTTATTCAAAATCCGACAAGTACCAATCAAAAATTCGATCAATTCTAGTATATGTATGCATACTCGTAAATCGTTTTTTTTTAATAAGTAATTATATAATCCAATCAAACGGTTTTTCATACAATATCTTAAAGTGCCATTTTACCCTCGAGCAATTCAGTAAACTAATTGATCACAATACTATATCCAGACAAAATCAAATAAAAATAATTCGACTTAGATTAGGCCATACAAAAATCTTTCATGAGCACATTTTAGACCACACTAAAAATAGCAACTGTACACACCTCCAAAATAGCATTCCAATCTTTGTATCCTCTTAGACTGTTCATCTCCAATCGTCAGATATTTACGTCTAAAATTCTTCAAAAATACCAATCCAATCTCACCACTAACCAACCCTACCAATACCAATCTAACGAATTTAATAAAGTTCCTTAAAGAAGCAAACTTCTACCATTTAATTTAATTTAAAAATAAAATAAATAAATAATAAAATTAGGAAGAAAAAAAAGTATATTATTGCACTATATACAAGTCTAATTAGTCTAAGTATGTACTTATACTACAAACATAGCCAGGGCTATTTCATACTAAACTAGGTTATGAATTTATTTGTAATCTTGTTATATAAATATAAATAAATAAATAAATAAATAAATAGATAAAGTGCCATAAGATTTTAAGCTTTTCAGTGGATATAATATAATATATATTCCCATATTATAAAAAATGCTTATGATCTACATATGTGATATATGACGACTTGCAAGCAAAATTGGAAACAAATTTTAGGCTATAAATTAACATTATAATTAAGGATAAATTCAAAGTTACTATAACGAGAAAAAATTATATAGTAAATATAGAAATTGTTGAAGCAATTGTAAGGGCATTCTATGTACAAAAGAGTTAAACACAAATTCTATATAATAAGGCGCACTGATTTGGATTTAAAATATAGTATCATAATTTCTAAATGAGAAACGCATTATTGAAAACATATAAAGATTTTCAGAAGATATCATTTTAAACGTTTAATTTTAAACGTTTAATTTGAAAGGTTTCCTACTGAGAATGATTTTTCCACTGATTTTTTCTATGTTACTGCACCAATATTGCATTTGGTTACCATATCATAATAAACACACATGTTTTTGGTCTTAAACTTGATTATTACGCCGATCGGGGCGATATTTTTCCGAGACCATTGTAAACGCTTCTTTTTTTAATGAAGAGTAGGCAATGGTTTTTCCTTGGCCTAAGAGTAAGTTTTTGAGTATATAACACAGATAATCACTGTACATACTTTAAAAAACCTATATCCACTCATGATTAACACTTAGATCATACATTACTTAACCATTGGCGCCGATCTATCCTCAAAAATGTGGCCAGGGCTCTTTTGTCACGAGCTGTTGTCGATGTTTTGCCTCTATTTGCGATTTTATTTTGAATGTTTTTACAATTCCTTGAACTGACGACTTAGCCAAATTTAATTGCTTGGCTATTTCACCAAAAGTATTCCCAGATTTATAATACTCGATGACTATACTTCGTATTTCTGTGCATATTGGCTTAACATTTGCCATCGTTGCAAAACTTTGATTAACATTAAGTAAGCCCACATTTTATATTAGGTTTGCGGGAGGTAAAAAATGTAACAGGCAGAACGAGGCGTGGCAGACCCCACAAAGTATATATATTCTTGATCCGTCTGTCCGTCCGTATGAACATCTGGATCTCAGAGACTATAAGAGGTAGAGACACCAAACTTTGCACAAAGATGCGTTATGAGTGTACGCTGTGCAAGTTTGTTTTATTTTTTTGATTTTCCCCCCCACTTCACCCCTATAAGGGTTTTCCCGATTTTCCATTCGTATAATCGCCTATATCTCGGAGACTATAAGACCTGGGGACACCAAATTTTAGTCTCAGATGCCTTATGTGGATACGCAGAAAATATGTAATTTGGAATTTCTCTCCCTCCCCCACAATCCATATTCCCGTAATTCTTGGAATTTTTCATTGAAATTTGTAAAATACCTCCCGTTAGTCATTATGAGTCCGTATGTCGAGTCACAACTATAGCTCGATTAAACAGAAACTTATAGCCATATATGCATATATGACCAAGCACTGATCGCAGCTGTTGTTGTTGTTACTGCTTTGCACAGGCACACAGACACACACAAGCACACACACACGCCTAGATACGCATAATTATACTACACATATGTACAGAGTATTTAAAAGTCGGGATACCTGACTTTAGCTTCTCCACTTGTTTAAATTCTGCTTTGTATTACTATTTCTAGATTATGACTAGATACTGATTAGCTTGCACTGTTTGCCTTTGTTTTCATGTTCTTTCAATTCTAAGCTAAGCATACGCAGCGTACGAATTAAGAGTGGTCAAATTTTTCGTATCAGTTAAGCAAAGCATTCAAATAAATTAATGTTATTGTTGTTGTTGTTGGAAGTAAAACAAAGTTTTTTTTTCTAAAGCTAAGAGAATCAAATGGTCTTTCTGAAAAAAATGTAATGGCATGTGTTATCTACATTAGTATTGACAATATCCTTTGTTAAACATTTCATGCCGTACGAATTAATAGTGGTCGGGGCTCGTATAAAACAACAAGCAAGTATAAAGCTCGTACATACGAGTATACACATATGTACATATATTCTGGTTCAATCGAACCTTATTATTTGTATTTTTTTGTATGAAAATAGATATTATTGAAATTGTACACCCAATTTTACATTTTTTTACATAGACAACTTTTTTGTTTAGACAAGTCTATAGATAAATAAATCATGTACTTGTAAACAAAGTGGCAGTTACTAGTTCTCTCATTTGTACTAATGACCTAGTTCGTAGATCTAGCTCGTAAGATGAACTACGATAACTGCGTTATCGATATCAATCAATTACTATATACTCAGTTGTGCTTGTGTGGTCGCCAGAGGCGGACAGCAAACGGAGTTCATTTAGAAATACCTAACAGTGAATGTATAAATGTATATATTAAACAACATTGTAAAATAAGCACACAATTAATAAACTATATTACACTATATTACAATTCAGATGTGGGGTGAAGCCACAGCCCTCTGTTAAGTTAATGAAGTATACCGAAATTATAAAGCTAAATAAAGAAGAACTGTGCGCGTTGTTAACCGAAAGAGGTGTACGCTTAGATAACGGTGCCTCAATTTACCAACTGCGCACAGCGGTAAAAACAGTGATGGATGAGGAGAGGGAAAGAGCACAAACTGAATGCAAGACCCAGAATTTGGTAGAAATTACCTCTGTACAGCCGCATGAAATTAATATCGAGTCAAATCACGTTGAAGGCGAAATCAATGCAGACACAATTATGAAGAAATGTGGCGCCATGGTGGTATGCGACGACGCTTCGAAATTTTGCAACGCCGTTCAAACCGTGGAGGCGGCTGAGAAGCGTGATTTTGAAGAAGACAAAATGGCGGAGTTGCAGCGTGTTGAAGTAGGAATGAGTCACCTTTCTGTGGAATCAAGAGCGTCCAGTGTTGCTGAAATTTATCCTAGCCGTATCGATATAAAAGACTTGGAAGCGGTCGTGCAAGCATTCTCTGGCGATGATAATTTGCCCGTTCGTTTATGGATTGTCGAATTTGAGACTGCTTGTAGCATGCTTGGAGTGCCAGATGAACGTTTGTGGATCTATGCAAAGCGTTTATTGAGTGGATCGGCAAAGGAATATTTCCTCCATCAAGGAGCCATACCGTGGGGCGATTTACGTAAGCAGCTTATGGATGTATTTGGGGAGGAGTGCACGCGCTTGGAGATTGGCGAGCAGTTAAAAAAATGCAAGCAAGCTAAAGACGAATCGGCTTTTCATTATTTTATAAGAATGTGCAGTATTGCGCGTCAAGCCGATTTGGAAGATTGCGACGTCATCAAACACATTGTGTGTGGCTTGCGCGATGGAGTTGGTATTACGTCATCGTTGTTCTTTTGTCAGACCCTAAAAGAGCTACGTCAGAAAGTGATCCAGCTCGACAAAATCCGGCCGTTGGTGTTATTGAACGAAGCAGGCTCTACGAATAAAGCTACAGTACGTGAAGTCCGCTGCTACAACTGCCGTCAGATGGGTCACATATCGACTGAGTGTAAGAAGCCGAAACGTCCAATCGATGGATGTTTCACTTGCGGGGAGAGAGGCCATCAGCATCGGGACTGCCCGAAACGCCGTATGAAAGATACAGTTGCCGCTACTGCAGAGCTGGTAAAGGAAGAAGACGATGTGGCAGCCATACAATTAGTGAGTTTTTGTTTGTTAAGTAGTAAATGTGGA